TGTGAAGAATAGAACCAGACCTCTGAATCGCTGGTTACATTTAGGACTTTAGTTTATTTCCCCAATTTAATTTAGCCCGATAAATATTTGCTGGCAGGTCTCCTCCTCTTCTACCAGGAGTCTGGACAGAAACAGCGATTATCTGATCATTGGGAATTATGTCGTATAATGCTGGGAAATACTGAAAAACATCTTATAATAATAAGTCAGATCGTCCCTCCTAGTTTTTCGGGTATTAAATTGTGTTCTATTGTATGTGGTATTACATAGGTCTTAAAAAAGCTTATATTTAACATGAAGAAAGTCCGATAAAGCACATGGCTGACCTTCGATCCGTAGAAAGTGATTGCAGATGAGTTGTTGTATGACTATTTACTCCTATCATAATTTATTAAGGGATTTCATTTTCATCTAAAAGTCTGAGTTGGGGGATCTCATTCACCGGCCGTTCCTCTCAGTCGGTGATGTTTGACAAACACTTGATGATTCTGCTTTTTGTTGCACCTCTCACTGCACCACTTTGCATAAGATCATGCCACTGAGTTTCATACGTTTTCATTCAAAGCACCACGCGGCTTCCTCATTCACGTAGACACGAGCAAAATGGCAGAACTCATGTAGCTAAGATTCCAGCTCCGCTGCTGAAGCTAACTCACACACCCACACACACACACACACACACACGGCTCAACGTTTGGCCAACTCTGCTCATGTACTTGACACCCAGCTCACAAAGCCCACGTTGTTATTTTTTCCAGGCTTTTTATTTTTCCCATTCGCAGTGAAAAAGTAGATGAAAGAACACGTCTAAGAGACTGTTTTATTTGAGTGCATGAACTCATTATTGCATGCTGTGTGTGTGTGTGTGTGTTTGTTTGTGTGTGTGTGTGTGTGTGTGTGTGTGTGTGTGTGTGTGTGTGTGTTTTGGTTGTATGTGTTTTTGTTTTTTAGACTTGACACAGTTGAAGGAATGTAAGTGGTGATTATTTTTTTCTATTATTTTTGAGACGTTCCTCCTCTCTCCCCTGTTGGCTGCATTTGGGCGTTTTCTTCCCTCCCTGTTGACTTAAGTCTGCCCCCCCCCCCCAACTTACTTCCTCCTGTCAGTAGATATTTCCAGGACCAGCGGGAGGAAAACCGTGAATTTCCACACTTCTGAATATAGTTTGACAGCTATGAATGTGATGCCTTCATTTTTCTTCCCGACAACAAAGCCTTTAATTGTTTCCACCTGCTGTTCGCTTTGCTCTGAGATCTAACAGAGACCGGTACATGAAATGTATGGAGTGGTTACCAATGAATGAACGTCATTTCATGATGCTGAAATGACTTAAAGCTACAACTTAGAACATTTTAGCATGAGTTGGATGTAAATGGCATCCATAAACAAACCACAGCCGCTTAAATAATCTGTAACAATGAGAAGAATTATTTTCGATATAACATCAACTTAAAAATGCACATTTGTACTTAACTTTTACTGAATTTCATTTGAACTACATGTGCGTTCGCTGCCGCTGAAATCTTGGTTTCAGATCTGAATAGTTTCTTTATAACCCTAAATAATCATGACTAAATCTACAGACCTTCTTGTGAAACGTGTTTATCCACCGTTTAGCAGCCGCTCCTTTGAACAGACGTTTATCCATGACGTCACCCTTTTATTCCAGCAAACCAGTGAGGAAAAAATATTATGAACAAACATAGACCCACACTTTATTTATTTATATCGCTGCACCCGAATGAGGGTAAGTCTGGCTTTAATCAAAGGTAACCTCTCCACATATGTCATGACGGGTCTCTGGACACTAACGCTGCAGTAACACACCGCGATGAGCTTGACTAACATTTAACCCTCCACCTGCACTGACGGTCAGTGTTCACAGGTTCCCTCTTCTGCCTCTCAGGAAACTCTCCTGGTGGGTTTGGCTTCCTGTTCCTGTCACAGCCTTGTTGGATCCCGTCATTCCTAAATCTTTCCCCCTTGCTCCGTTCTCCCTCTTGCACCCAGACATGATGGTTTTTTTTGGGGGGGGGGAATCAGGGCTGATGTTGTCACGATAGAGTCCGAGATTTGCGTAGAAATACGACAGAAAGCACTGCGTAGCATATTTTACTTTGACCTGTTTAGTGAAAGCAGGTGAAGGTAAAACATGCTGCATATGCAAACATATTCAGGAGGAGATGCTAATATAAGAAGAAATTGGATCAAAGACTTAAAAACACAGAATTTCGTTCTGTAAATTCAGTTTTTAACATTCCTACTGTTCTCAGACTGACATTGTAATGATCGTGACAACTCTTAATAATGGGTGACGTTACTGTTCACAATGCAGACTCATGAGTACGCTTTTGATGCTCTGTAGTGCTGATCTAAATCTGTGTGTGTGTTCTACCTCTCCCCGTGCAGGAGTCCTCTGGCCCAGATGGAGGAGGAAAGGCGAGAGCATGTGACTAAGATGAAGAAGATGGAGATGGAGATGGAGCAGGTGTTCGAGATGAAAGTCAAGGAAAAAGTGCAGAAGCTCAAAGACTCTGAAGCAGAGGTAACACACACACACACACACACGCGCACACACACACACACACACACACCTGGTTTAATGAATACTGCGGTTCCCTTGTGAAGTTACTCATCTGTCTGAGCTCCTTCCTTCCTCTTGTGCTGACTTGCTTCAGCGGTTAGAAGTGTGACTGAGTGTTATGTGAGAGGGTTGTTGATTTGTGCAAATGGAGGTTCTGTTGGCAAGTTCCCTCTTTTTGCACATGTTTTGCAGTCCGAGTTCAGTTTTCTTCTGACTGCATGTGTGCCGGTGCCTTTATATACGGAGTACTGACGTCCTCCTCTGTCCCGTCTGTCTCTCTGCAGCTTCAGCGGCGTCACGAGCAGATGAAGAAGAACCTGGAGGCGCAGCACAGAGAGCTGGAGGAGAAGAGACGTGTGTTCGAGGACGAGAGAGCGAACTGGGAGGCCCAGCAGCGCCTGGAGCAGCAGAGAATGGAGGCCTCCAGGTACAACACTCAAAATAAGCTCCTGTATCATGAGCTGGACCTTTAATTTAACTGGAGGGTGAATGATGGGCAATAGTAGAGCAGTGCCACCTTGTGGCCGTCTGACAGTAATGCAGAACCAGAAGCGTAGTTTTACATACAAAGAATTTGCCTTTGTGTTTTGGTGCATAACGGTCACAGTAAACAGTTAGAGACAGGAATACAAACATGAGTATCTTTCACTTCACTTTAATGACAACAGACCAGAGTTGGTGGAATATGTTTCAGGCATAACTGAGTATTTTTTTCTTTTGAATTAGTTTTTTATACAGAAAACAAATTCCTCCGACTCTGGTCGTGTGTCTGTTAAAGTGAAAGATGTGGAAGTTCTTGTTTGAAGTTACCAGCCTTCTAGATACCAGTCTAAACCACTGGACATATTCAGCCGGTGACAATGGGTCACAACAAGTTGTCGTTTGAGGGGACACGAGCCCAAAAAATGTTGGTGACCACAGCTAATGACAACTTCAAGTCCCAGAGAAACCCAAGTTGGAGTGTGGGGCAATAAGGAGCTACAGAGAACTGCTGACTCCCTCACCTGTTAGATCAGGAGGAGGAGGAGGGAGAGATGAAAAGGGAGACGTTGCAGATTTTCAACTGGCACTGTGTCACTGCAGCTCATGCAGATGGACGCCGCACAGCTTCAAATTGAATTGAATTCGACCTCAGCCACATCGCTATACCCACTTATATCTCATCTCCTGTCTCTCTCCATATATCTCTGTTAGCTGCTACGATCCACAAACAGTGAAGTGTGATTTTAAATGATCGGTGTGACGAGCTAGTCGCCCAAAGTCTCGTTTGATTGGATCATTTTTTAGTAAACGCCCGTGTGTGTGAAGGATGATTCATCGGACATGTGAAACCACCACAGAAGCTAAAGACGCTCTAACTTCACTCGGACGTTTTACAGCATATAAATGCATCAGGCTTTTTCATATCTTATTTCCTACAGACATATCTTACAAAGTGATGTATGTGTTTGCTACAAGTAGAGCTGGAATAATTCACAGTGTGTGTGTGTGTGTGTGTGTGTGTGTGTGTGTGTGTGTGTGTGTG